GTGTCAGTGTTCTGAATAACAGATGACCTCAGATCAGATTTATCTTGAGAGGGAGACGGATAGAGAAAAGAAAGAGAGATGGGAGGGCTTTGGCAAAACCGTTCATCTAACATTCATGCCAATAAAACAAACTGGAGAGCTAAACTGAAGAGAGAGCTAAGAGACGGAAAGGAGAGGCAGAGAGCAAAGACAGGGGAGCGAATGAGAGATGGGCGAGAAGAGAGAGTACGAGACTGAAAGAAGAGGGAAGATGGTGAGAGAGAGCAGAGAGGGAGCGAAACTTCCTGCTGCACTGCAGCCTGTTTAAAGACATAGAGGTCAAGTTCTTTACCAAAATAAAACTCACATACCAAGAGTTTGACACACTCTCAGACCAAAACATAATTCAGTATTTATTTAAAGAAGAACTGACATTGCCACAGAAGCAGCAAAAGATGTCATGGCCCGAGGGAAACCAGTGGAACAACACATGAAACTGTACTGAGCTCCTTCGAAATTATCTTTTTTAAAATCTTTTTGATATAATCTCTTTTCTTATATACCCCTCATCAGTAACTTACATTTCTTTGTTAAAGTATGTCTGATCTTATCATTTATATTCTTCCATCCTGTAATATCGCTATTCTTACATTTGATACTTACTACTACATTGTAAACCTTGTACAAGAGGCAGAAGTGAACTTAACGGTGGTCATTATAATTTGAATTTGGGAGGGGGAGAGCAAGAAAAGGACTTAGTTAAAGTGTGTGTGTGGGGGCAGAAAGAGAGAGAGTGAGAAAGAGAGAGTGAGGACAGACAAAGACAGAGAGAAGGGGGGCTGAGCGAGAGACACCCAAAAGAACACCTGTTGAGATTAGGGTTGGCACGCGACCCACTCCAACTCGCGTGGCAGCTGCACCTCACTGGAACAATGGCAGTAAAAGAGAGAGACAGAGAAAGCGAGAGAATAAATATATCCTGGGCGGAAACTCGCATTTTGCGCCCCGTGGAACACACAGAAACATGATGCAGGACCTCGGTGTCGCTCACCTCATCCGGCACTTAAGGTGTTATTATTATATGCAAAAAAAAAAGTAGAAAAACCAGACAGACTAATAGATTTTCTCACTTGAAATGAGGATAAATAGTTTAATGTTAACCTTTCCAAGTTTTATATAGTCGTCGGTTAAATATGTTTTATATACGATACCGCACAGTTGTGTTTGAATAATTCTGGCATCCGATTTATTTAAATTACACCAAGCTTCCTATCATGTTTCTGTAGTTTTGTAGTAAAGTGGGAATAATTTTCTCTCGGAGGGCAATAGATACCGTGTCTTTTTTT